CTCCGATTCCAAACAGAGCCAATGAGCGCAATCCGCGGGGTATACAGACGCCAATTCCAAAGGGACCATCGAGGACTGGCAGTATGATCAAGCAGAGGCAAGTTGGATAAACTTTGCTTCAATTGTTACCAATGGGTTCACCACAGATCATATCCATAGATGCCCGGCAAGGTAGCTACTTGCAATTTTCGGAAGAAAACCGGCCATTATGAGCATACATACCGGATGCAAAAAAAACACCGGCACAGTGTGGGTCTCCCCCACAGGGAAGAGGGAAAAGCAGTCAATTAATTGATCACGAGGTCAAAACGGCGGAGCACGAGTTTTCAGTGGGATGGGTCAGCAACCAACAACGGAAATTCATCCCAAAATTTAATCAGACAAAATGGAAATTAGATATCACTCTTCAGTTAAAATGAGTGTGTGAAGTTATAAGGGTTTCGGCTCTTTGTCATTCGTCTGAACAAACAATTAACTGAAACACACATCGCATACTTCAAAACTCGAGTTTTAACGCTAGTATACCCCCAGAAAATTTACAGAATCACGACAAAAATCCTATTAATCCGAAATTATTTAAAAAGTTAATCACTTTGACAAAAACTCTGGCAATATAACGTGTATATGAGCACCAAAAATTGTTTCATCAAATTATAAGGGCTCGTGAGCTTGTATGTACATAAAACAAGACTGCTCGTAACAGGGCGAAGCCCTGAATGTTCCGACTGCCTTTTAAGGTTTATGGAGCTGTAATAACATTAAAAAACTCAATGAAATAAAAAAAATGAAAAACTTCTTTTTTCTAAAATTTGAAATTTTTTTATGAAAATCGACCCCCCACACGCCATATAAAGTACAAAGTGATAGATTTCGCTCCTATTAACAAATCAATTATGGCAAATAAGCTTCTTTTAACCAAATTGGAACGATTTCTAAGACGGATTAGCTCTCCGCTTACGCGTTAATAGCGCGAAATCTATCGCGCGTTATGGAACCTGATCTAAACTACATTTTATGATTGGATAAATTAGATATTTTACCAATGTAAAGTATTTGATATTAACCAATCATGATCCATCTAACTAACAATCCACTTATTTGTAAGTGCTGAAATTACTTGTAATTTCAGCACCAGAGAGATTTGAATTTAACTTAGAAATTAGTTGACTCTCCAAGAAGACTTCAGCAACCGCAATAAACCAGTATACCCTAGATCTATTGAGCCTAGCAGAGACTAGTTAAACAACCTGAGACTAGATAGTATAAGAGTAAGATTAGGATTGGTATTAGACTAAGAAGTTGCACGAATCTATCCGGCCGAAAATAAGATAGCGTGACGAGCAGACGGTGTACCCTATCCGAAATTACTCTATGAGTTATACACTCCAGTCCTAACTCATCTGGTGCGACCATAAGTCTCGAACAAGACCTTAATAGCTTAGAATTAACCAAAAAATAGATTAGAATTTAGACAAAACATTTACAAAATGTTATACGACGATAATTTAATCGAAATGTCTCTACGACTCAATAGATCAGAGCCAATATTCCGAACGATAACAGAACTACCCGGAATTGCAAGAAGACCTCGAACCAGAGACGACATACGACAAAATAGAAACTTACCATATAGTTATATGATAGTTCGGCAAAAGCCAGAACAAACTTTTGTATTTAGAATACTACTAGCAATGAATTTAGATTTTCATCTGCAAACATAAAATCTTGAAGTCAATCTTCAAAATCATTTCAGGCGCTAAACAAATATTAATATACAATAACGATTGATAAAAAGATCTCAGATCGTTTACCTAAATTCTGCAGTAATATACAAAACATGTTTGAAAAATATTTATTGAAAAATCAAAATAAAAATTAGTAGCATGACAATAAATGGTTAGTAATTATAAATCATCCTGTTGTTCCAGCTTCATCACCTAAACATAACAGCATTCATAAGCTCACTAATATCATAAAAACACTAAATCTTTTCTCTACACAAATTTAAATCTTTATTTAAACTTAAATTCACTTAATTTTAAAATTAGATCATCAAGGCTTATCCTTGGATCTTAAATCATTTTCTATTTAATAAAATTTAAAACCTGATCATCAAGGCCTCTCCTTGGATCAAAAAGAACAATTTTGTTCTCCCCCACCCACTTAGCTAGTGTCTAACGACCTCAAACGTCGATTCACTATCCAACCCTTTCTAAAAACCCAGGACTAACAGAAATTTTTGAACAAAACTAATCATTCAAATTAGGATAAACAGTGAAGAACTTCGGTTATTCATCCTTCACTTGATCCCCCCTCTTACCAGACCCAGGATAAATCTTAGACTTAGTAAGTTTAAGATAGTATCTAACGAACTACTCGCGTTCTAATTATACCTGAACCTTGTGGATCGATTTACTATTCTCCAACCCTGAACACAATCACTACCCTTAAGTAAGATTAAGTAAGTTAACACCTTAGCTTATACTAGCCACGAGAAAGTATAAAATCATTCTTCGGAATCGATATACTTTTCTCCCCAACCCTGAACAAATAGACCCAGGTTAAGCTAACCAAAAAATCGTAAGGACTAACAGTTTAAGCAAATAGAAATCATTTAACAACCTTTTGCATCCGTCATCCTAAACCTTATGTCATATAAAAACCTAGGAAATAAACAAACAATCGTTTTACACAATTGTGAAATAGATAACAAAAAATACGATCTTGTAATCACACCACACACACAAACAGTTGGATATATCAGAACAAAACGACAAACACTAAAAAGAAAAATAATAACCAAACAAAGACAAATTACACGAAAAAGATTTTCCAAAAACCGCAACGCATTTTCAGAATCAGAAACCAACAGTTTAGACGAACTTTATAAATTAAAAGAATCTATAGATAAAAATTGCCCCATTCACGATCAATTATATTTTTCCGACTCAGAAACAACTTCAAATTCATCAAAAAGAGGAAAAAGAAGAATAAAAAAGCAATATAAACACAAACCAGTACATTTATACAATTGGAATCAACCAATTAGACACATTGATAATTACATATTAACAGTCATCAAACGAAAAAATGAGCTCAACACACACCCCAGGTGAAGAAAGTCCAGATGATGATGATATCTTCCCCTTTATAGTAGATGCAACCACTGATAGAGGACAGCATATATTTTGCAAAAATTTACTTTTAAATTTATTTGAACCCGGAATCAGTCCATGTAAAACAGAGTTCCCAGATGTAAAAATCAAAAGACAAATTATCGATCACTATCTAAAAGATATATGTAACCTAACACAACAATACGGAATCTACTCCATAGAATTCAGTTCAACAAATCAGAATCACAGTAAATATATAATTCAAACAGACGACCTTGATTTAGAATTTTCAAAAGTATTCACAGAATATACAAAAAGTATTCAATATCATAACTCACAAAGAGCAAACTCCATATTCACTAATGAAGTTTTTGCAATAATATATAGTTATATCTCGCTATTAGAAAACGAAATCCAGATACCAAATGTCTCACCGACAGAAACATCTAAACATATAAGAGTACGACATGAAATCACACTACTCTCTAGTTTTCTAAATATAATTAAAGAAAATTTCACGAAAGATGAAGTTTCACAACATACAAAACACGACTTACAAAAAATTTTGGCATGGTTCATAATAGATTATTTCACACATAATATTGATTTAATTTCACAAGCAAGAAAAAATTTTAGACCCCAAAACTCAAACGATGATACTGCCATCACAGAACAATCAGACTACGTTTGGGACCCCGAATGGTCTCACTCCGCATTCATAAACTTCCCACAATCAATCTCAAGTCAAGCAATAAGTACGATATCCTACGTAAGAGATTATGTAAGAGTAATACCATTAACCATTGATGCAACACCATTAAACTATAATACATTTTTACCCGATATGCAAAATAATAGTTTAAACTCCACAGTCATACACAATGAAAACCTCAATGGAACTAGAAATCTCACTCAACAAGATATCCAGACACCATCGCACTTCATAAATGAAGAAATCGTACATACAACAACTACACAACAAAGTATTTCACCAATACGTCCAAATTTAACAACACCAAGAAATACAAATCCTTCACAAACACAAGT